ATCTTCACCCAAATCCTAAAAAAAAAAAAAAAAAAGTTTGTTTTACATGTTAAGGGTAGAATTAGAGGATTGTTGTCGTTAGTTGTCATGGAGCCTGTTCTACTTCATGGTGACCTCACGCATAACAGAATGAAACACTGTCCAGTCCTGCGCAGTCTCCAACCCAAGGAGCTGATCTTCCAGCCCGATACCTGATAATGGAAAGAAAGGTCACTGGAAAGAAGGAAAATGGGCTGAAGATCTACTTCCAAAAATTAGCCAGTGAAACCCTATGGATAAAATTAGGGGATAGGAAGAGATGAAAGATAGAGGTGGATAAAGATCTAACTACAATGAAACCTGTGATGACTCCACAGAATTGCCCTGCTTTTCTGTGTCCTGCAAGTTTTTTGCCTGTGACAGGATGTAGTCTTCCCACTTTCCTATCACTCATTTTAGTGGAAAATATTTGAGTGTTCCTTCTCTGACAGATTTCTGCCTTATACACATACTGGCTTTTGCAGGTTTTACTACAACAGGTCAGTCTCTGAGGAGAAAGGAGCTGGAACCAGGAACACAGGGAAATATTTACCTCAGACAGGAGGAAGGGTAAAACCAAAACCACACCAGTTGCTGTGGAGTTGATCCCAGCTCATGGCAATCCCATGTGATCTAGAGTAGAACTGCGCTCCATAGGGTTGTCAAAGCTGTGATTTTTCAAAAACAGATTGCCAGACCCTTCTTCTGAGGGACTGTGGGTGGGCTCCAACTGCCAACTTTGGTAACAGTAAGCAGTCAAGTGCTTACCATTTGTGCCATCCAGGACTCCAAGGAAAGGTAAAGATGCAGGTAAATATGAAAAAACAGTATCAATAACAACAGTAATAACAACAGTAATGCATGCCATCAGTCAATACTGACTCACTGTGACCCCACAGGACAGAGCAGAACTGCCCAGTAGGGTTTCTGAGGCTGTAATCCTTATGAAAGCAGGCTGCCACATCCTTACCTTGTGAAGCAGCTGGTGGCTTTCAACCGCCAATCTTTTGGTTAGCGGCCAAGCACCTAACAACTGCACCAGAGCAGGGCTCCTTGGTAACAATAGCTAACATTTACTGAGAATTTCTTTCGTACCAGACTATCAAAAGGTTTTATATGAATTACTTTACTTAATCTTTGTAATAAACCTACTATGCTAAGAAAGATTAGCTTGTCCAAAGCCACCCAGACAGCAAGTGGCAGAACCAAAGTTTGAACCCAGGCAGTCTGATTCTAAATTCCCAGTCCTTAGCCACTCCTCGGAAGGAAGGTTGGGCAATCTACTTCCGTAGTGATACTGCCTTGGAAACCCAAGGAGGGGGTCGCTATGAGTCGGGGCCGACTCGACGGCACGTAACAACAACAACAACAACAGTCCTTAACCTTTATACTATATACTGTAGGTAGGAAGTGAGTTTAGTAGGTAGAAGAGGAAGAAATCAAACCTGAGAAGTTCATACTTAATATCTTCCCTTTTCTTTTCCATTTTGGAGACAAGGTTGTGTGGAAAACAGGCTTGGGGTGGAAGACTTGAGGTAAGACAGTGAGGTTGTAGAACAGTCACTTAGGGAATGGGAACGGAAGCACAGGGGACTGCCACGTGGTACTTGGGGGCCAGCTGTGCTAGGGGACTGTGACATTGTAGAGATACCACCAACTCATACAGTTGAGTGATCCCTCCATCCCCTGGGAACAATTCTTCACAGCCTGGATGGGAGACATTCAAGTAAAGGCAATTCCTTAAAATATAGTGTGTGTGGGGGGGATCCTCCGATAGAAGGTGACCATGCTGGGTGCTGTTGAGTCAGTTCTGACTCATAATGACTCTGTATGACAGAGCAGAACCGCCCCATAGGGCTTCCTAAGCTATACTCTATGGGAACAGATCACCAGGTCTTTCCTCCTGCAGAGCCACTACTGGAGTTAAACCACCAACCTTTTGGTCAGCGGCTGAGCACTTAATGTGCCACAAGGGCTCCTTCAATAGCAGGTACACAGAGGGAACTACAGGGGCAAAAACAAAAACACAAGTCTCTTACCCAAACTTGAGATGTGGGTGGAGAAATGGAGACTGGGGCAAAGAAGTACAGATCCTTCGGAATGGATTGCTAGACTGGTGGGAGGTAAAGATAAACAAAACCAATGAAGGCAAGGAAAACAGAAGGCAGGGTATTAGATAGCTTTGTGTTAAACAATACAAAGAACAAATATTCACTCAGGGTTAACATACAAAGGACACTGTGATAGGCAAGTTTTTTTTTTTTTTTTTTTAAAAGAAATAGTTCCTACCTGGCTTATCTCACCAAATAAGCATACTGAAAACAAACCAAACTCACTGCCATCTAGTTGATTCTGACTCATAGCAATCTTCTTTGGGTTTCCCAGGTGATAAACCCTTAGAGAGTAGATTGCCCAGTCTTCCTTCCGTGGAGTAGCTGGTGGGTTTGAACTGCCAACATTCCAGTCAGCAGTCAAATGCCTTAGGCACTATGCCACCAGAGCTCCTTTAACTAAACAGAAGCACTTCCTAAAGGCCAGGGAATATGCTCTTGATGCTAACAGTTTTCAGCTCAATAAACACCGGTGGGATTAAACAATACATCTCTTTATACTAACAAGAGTTGTTATCAGAGGTTATAAACTGGTGTCTTATGGACTAAATCAGAATCACAGGAAGTGATAGGATCCACAGAGTACTTAAAAAGAATCTGAACCAATATTTAAACATTAGATGTCACACAAAGCATGCGTTTCTAGCTTCCCTCAAAAAAAGAGAATTTAGACACTGGGTCCATATGCCCATATGGCAAAAAAAAAAGAAAGAAAGAAAGAAAGAAAATCAGTTTTACAGTGCAGAGGGCCCCTGGTGGCATAGTGGTTAAGTGCTTGGCAGTGAACCAAAAGGTCAGTGGCTCAAACCCACTGGCTGCCACTCCACAAGAGAAGGACGTGGCAGTCTGCTTCCATAAAGATTAACAGCTTTGGCAATCCCATGGCGTAGTTCTATTACTCTGTCCTATAGGATTGCTGAGTAGGTATTGACTCGATGGCAATGGAGTATATGTTGTTGTTGTTATGTACCATCGAGTCGGACCCGACTCATAGTGACCCCTCCTTGGGTTTCCGAGGCAGTATCATATG